TGCCTTCTGTGTCACCTCTCTGTCTCTTCTCTGTGTCCTCTGTTCTTTGTGCCCTCGCTATGTCCTCTCTGTTACCTCTCTGTGTCCTCTCTGTCTCTTTTCTGTGGTCTCTGTGTCTTCTCTGTCGCCTCTCTGTCTTTACTCTGTGTCCTCTGTCTCAATGTGTGTTCTCTGTCTTTTCTTTGTGTCCTCGCTATGTCTTCTCTGTCACCTCCAGGTCATGAAATCTGCTATGGAGACCTCGGCTGTTTCTCGGATGCCGCGCCGTGGTCTGGGACCCTCCAGCGGCCATTAGCTGCACAACCCTGGACTCCGGAGAAGATAAACACCCAGTTCTTCCTGCTGACCCGAGAGATCCTGGAGTGTCACCAGGTGTGTCTGTCACTCTGACTTCTGTCTGCCCGTATTGCTGCTCAAATTTCCAAACATGAATTTTAATACAGTGCTGACAATTAACACCCCGCAAGTCCCTGTCCCGAGGAGCTCACAATCTAAGAGCCCTCTCTCACATACATGGGTAGATTTAGACAGGAGTCTATAACCCTATCAGCATGTCTGTGGAGGGTACCCATGCAAGCACAGGAAGAACATGCAAAACTCATGCAGCTAAGTATCCTGACTGCGATTGGAACCTCAGTGCTGCAAGGCAGAAGTGCTATGGTGATAATTGTGACTGTGTGTGATATACACACCATACGTTTCCCACTCTATATACTTCCCACTCCATACACTTCCCACTCTACACACTTCATACACTTCCCACATTATATACTTCCCACTCCATACACTTCCCACTCCATACACTTCCCACTCTACACACTTTCCACTTCATACACTTCCCACATTATATACTTTCCACTCCATATACACTTCCCACTCCATACACATCCCACACTATATACTTCCCACTCCATACATTTCTCACACTATATACACTTCCCACACTATATACACTTCCCACACTATATACACTTTCCACTCCATACACATCCCACACTATACACTTCCCACACTATATACTTCCCACTCCATACACTTCCCACTCCATACACTTCCCACTCCATACACTTCCCACTCCATACACTTCCCACTCTACACACTTCCCACACTATACACTTTCCACTCCATACAGTATACTTCCCACTCCATACACTTTCCACTCCATACAGTATACTTCCCACTCCATACACTTTCCACTCCATACACTTCCCACATTATATACTTCCCACTCCATACATTTCCCACACTATATACTTCCCACTCCATACACTTTCCACTCCATACAAATCCCACACTATATACTTCCCACTCCATACACTTCCCACACTATATACACTTTCCACTCCATACACATCCCACACTATACACTTCCCACTCCATACACTTACCACACTATATACACTTTCCACTCCATACACATCCCACACTATACACTTCCCACTCCATACACTTACCACACTATATACTTCACACTCCATACACTTCCCACTCTACACACTTCCCACACTATATACTTCCCACTCCATACACTTCCCACACTATATACTTCACACTCCATACACTTCCCACACTAAATACTTCACACACTATATACTTCACACCCCATACACCTTACCACATTGCAGTAGCCGAGAATTCGGGTGGGCAAACCTTTGCAATAGTCCACCGGGACCGTGAACAGATAATGGGCTGGGTGGGGGTGGGTCACCTCAAAATCTCATGTGACCCAAACCGGAATCTCGTTTTATAGTTTGTGCAGAACATCAGCGCCAGGGACCTTCCCGGCCTCAGAGCCTCCTCATTCCGGACCTCCCGTGAGACCGTTTTCATCGTACACGGAATGGACGACCGAGCGGAGAGTAACTGGGTGTCCGACATGTGCCACGTGAGTGTCGGCTACGGATTTATATGATAGTACAATACCAAAGTGCTCACACTGTCACCCTCATCCTTCACCAGTGCTGATCTTCTCAGTCGTCAGTCTGTCAGTCAGCCCAGAAGGTGAACCTCCTCCCGCCGGCCCTTTAAGACAAAGCAATGCCAGAGGCATTACATGAGCTTCCTGATCATGTGTTCATTGTGATTGGCTGTCACAGTGCGTCCAACCGTCTCCGAATGGGAACTGTCAGTGACATCATGGTCACACGTCGGCTCAAACTATGAGGATGAATGAAAGTCACTCCCCCATCGTTCTCCTTTAATTCACCTCTCCAATTCTTTCTCATGCTGGGCACACACCTTACAACCATCGCTAGACTTTTGTCTTGCGTCGGTTGTAAGGTAATTTTAAAAACTTACGATCTGCCTATCTTGGACAGGTAGATCGTACTTGCGATGATTGCAAGCCGCGCCCCCCTGAGGGGCGGGCTTCCGATGACCGCAATGCCGAACGGGCAGTGTGCGCTTGCACACCGGCCCGTCCGGCTTTTATCTTACGAACAAGCTACACACCCGCCGAACGTCGTACGATGCTCGGCGGGTTTTCGAACGTGTTCATAAGTTTAAAGTCGTGCGACCTTACAGTAGCGGAGGTCGCATGACTTCCACACACCTTACCATAATCGTACGATCGCGGGATTTCCCGCCATTATCGTACGATTATGGTAAGGTGTGTGGGCACCCTCAGCCTGGGTTCACACCTGGGCGTTCCAAATAGGCGCGTTTTTAGCACGTTTCAAAACACGTTTTTTTGTTTACTGAAACGCGTGTTCGACGCTCGTTTTGTAACCTCCCTGGCGGTATGATTTTTATTTTTCCTTTTTTTTTTCTCCATCTTTTTTTAGTTTTTTTTTTAGTTTTTAAACTTTCTTAAGCTGTATTCCCGAGTGTGGCTCGGGGGTTACCGCTTTGTTAACCCCGAGCCACACTCGGGAATACCAACGGATACGCGCTGAAATACGCCCCAAAGAAGCTCATGTACTACCGTGTTTCCCCCGAAAATAAGACACCGTCTTGTATTTTTTTGGCTCCAAAAAAACACGTTAGGTCTTATTTTATTTTTTTTAATATGTAACAATCCAAAGTTAACGCAAATCCAAATTAAATAATCCAAAATGGCAAAGTTAAGAATCGGGTGATCAGGGCAATTGGGGGCGCCGTACCTTTCCAAGAGAAGTTTGGTAACCAATCGCTGGCCAGAATGAGCGAAGCTTTCACTATGGATTCCTCACAGGCGGAGCGCATTTGGTATGACTCCGCCTGTGACAGGAGGCGGGGCTATAGAGGAAGCATCGGCTCTGTTCCATGCGCTGCCGCCACGCTTCCTCTAGCGCCGGCTTCGTTGGCACCGCTGATTCTCTCCCGCGGCTCTTCAAGTTCCCCCTTATGCCACCACCGGCCCCGGGAATGGTAACAACCAGGTCTTATTTTCGGGGTAGGTCTTATATTTTAGCAACTCCCAAAAATAGTACTAGGTCTTATTTTCAGGGATACAGGGTATTTCGAGCGTAGGGCGTTTTTCAGCGCGACTAATCGCGCTGAAATACGCCCAGGTGGGAACCATGCCCATCGGAGCTAATAGGATTTCACTTGTGGAGCGTTTTTCAGCGCTTCGATCAGCGCCCAGGCGTGAACCCGGCCTTATAGTCCATAGTGGGATTTTACATCAATTTCTTGTATTTTATCCTTTACATGTCAAATGTTTTCCATTTGTATCTGAAACGTATTCACACCTAATTGTTTACGTTTTGTGTATGATTGGGGATGATGAGAGTTTAAAGGAGAACTATGAGGGGGGGGGAGGGGAGGGGCTTTTCACTCACCTCATAGTTCTAGCCGACCTGTGACAATGAGACTGTCACAGGTCGGCTCAGTAGATCGGGAAGTGAGAGAACACATACCAGCGTTCGCTCACCTCTCGATCCTGTCACGGCTCTCTGCCGTGACAGGGGAGGGGCTGCATTCCCCTCTCCCCGCTCCGATCCTCCAGCGCTGACTGGCGGAACGGACGGGGGAGGGGGCGGGTACAGCTGGCTCTGCCTCTAGATAGGCTGAGCCAGCTGTCAGTCACGCAGCTGGGCGGATCATGGCACAATTGTCGGGATCCGTCCTGGCTGCGGCGTCTCAGTATACCGCGAGCTGTAGCTCCCTATATACTGAGCCTAGGGTGACGGGAGGACGCTAGTATATGTCCTCCCGTTACCCTAAGGAGAACTATGGGGAAAAGCCCTGACCCCGTAGTTCTCCTTTAAATAATAAGGACCTACAATCCACTAGCTACATCCTTCGTGTGCTCACATACGGCACGTTTTATGCACCTAGAATATCAGAATGAATATAGAGACACAATATCATTATTATATACAAGATTCTGCTTGTGATTCTCTGTGTGGGGGAGGGGAGGGGGGATGTATTATTTATTTCCTCCTTTTGTATCGCCTTTAAATCCAACAATTCCCCCATCAGGAGCTCATATTGTTGAAAGACGTGAACTGTATCGGGGTGGATTGGCGCCGCGGATCGGGAAACGTATTGCTGTACGTGCAGGCCGCCAACAATGGGCGCGTCGTTGGCGCGGAGATCGCCCATCTGCTAAAGAAACTTCAGGTGAATATAGAAACTCAGCCGGTGAATAGAATCGGATATAATAGGAATGAAAGACACTGTGAGCTCCGCGTCATTATTACATATCAATTGGTATTTTCCTGGTACTGGTCATTTCGTGGGACTGCGAGGAGTTAAATTCACATTGAAGTTCTGATATAGCCCAATAAAATGCATCTGTACGATGCCGGCCGGGAGGACACAGGAGCCTCAGAAGGGAGGGAATCCGGCAGTTTGCAATAAATGGGAGATAAGCACAGAATGAACAGGCTGCATGTCAACTCATCCTAGAGTTGGTCACTCTGACCTTTGTGCAACCCCTCTGTCCAAAGCCTGAAGTGTAAAACCATTGCCTCATCTCCTCTCGGTTATTTTGTGACATTGGTTGGGAGGGGTTGGGGTGTTACATTGTATCATTGTGTCCAGGTTGGGGTGTTACATTGTATCAGGTTGGGGTGTTACATTGTATCAGGTTGGGGTGTTACATTGTATCAGGTTGGGGTGTTACATTGTATCAGGTTGGGGTGTTACATTGTATCAGGTTGGGGTGTTACATTGTATCAGGTTGGGGTGTTACATTGTATCAGGTTGGGGTGTTACATTGTATCAGGTTGGGGTGTTACATTGTATCAGGTTGGGGTGTTACATTGTATCAGGTTGGGGTGTTACATTGTATCAGGTTGGGGTGTTACATTGTATCAGGTTGGGGTGTTACATTGTATCAGGTTGGGGTGTTACATTGTATCAGGTTGGGGTGTTACATTGTATCAGGTTGGGGTGTTACATTGTATCAGGTTGGGGTGTTACATTGTATCAGGTTGGGGTGTTACATTGTATCAGGTTGGGGTGTTACATTGTATCAGGTTGGGGTGTTACATTGTATCAGGTTGGGGTGTTACATTGTATCAGGTTGGGGTGTTACATTGTATCAGGTTGGGGTGTTACATTGTATCAGGTTGGGGTGTTACATTGTATCAGGTTGGGGTGTTACATTGTATCAGGTTGGGGTGTTACATTGTATCAGGTTGGGGTGTTACATTGTATCAGGTTGGGGTGTTACATTGTATCAGGTTGGGGTGTTACATTGTATCAGGTTGGGGTGTTACATTGTATCAGGTTGGGGTGTTACATTGTATCAGGTTGGGGTGTTACATTGTATCAGGTTGGGGTGTTACATTGTATCAGGTTGGGGTGTTACATTGTATCAGGTTGGGGTGTTACATTGTATCAGGTTGGGGTGTTACATTGTATCAGGTTGGGGTGTTACATTGTATCATTGGTCCAGGTTGGGGTGTTGCATTGTATCATTGTGTCCATGTTGGGGTGTTACATTGTATCAGGTTGGGGTGTTACATTGTATCATTGTGTCCAGGTCGGGTGTTACATTGTATCAGGTTGGTGGTGTTACACAGGTTGGGGTGTTACATTGTATCATTATGTCCATGTTGGGGTGTTACATTGTATCGTTGGTCCAGGTTGGGGTGTTACATTGTATAATTGTGTCCGGGTTGGGGTGTTACATTGTATCGTTGGTCCAGGTTGGGGTGTTACATTGTATCATTGGTCCAGGTTGGGGTGTTACATTGTATCATTGTGTCCATGTCGGGGTGTTACATAGTATCATTGGTCCAGGTTGGGGTGTTACATTGTATCATTGGTCCAGGTTGGGGTGTTACATTGTTGCCGCTCTCTCTCCTTGTGCAGGATGACTGGTCTTGTCTCCGCCCCCTCCTGTAATAAAGACCGGTCACTGCTGCTCTCTCTCCTTGTACAGGGTGACTGGTCTTGTCCCCGCCCCTTTTCTGCAGGCAGACTGTGGTGGGTGGAGCCTGCTGGGCCCCTCCCACAACTCTGCTTTCTGCACAGGCCACAAAAATGGATAACAAATGAAAATCTAAAAAGATCACAGATGAGAAATCTTCCTCTAGATACATATGAACCACATGATGTCCGTCCCATTACAGTGTATCTTCCTCTCCGCAGGTCTGGACCCGGCTCGGCCATATTTCGAGAACACGGCGGAAGAAGTTCGTCTTGATCCCTCCGACGCTGGTTTTGTGGACGTCATTCACACGGACACCGAGAAGATAACTGGTAGATATAAATACGTCTCTTTCTCTCCCGGAGTAGAAGGTGAAGTGCGGGGAGCGGTGCAATGTGCGCACACACACGCAGATCCCACATTGATGTTCTATGCTGCAGTCTCAGAAGAAACAATAATGGGAGGGGAAGCTCCACGGCCAAGCCGAGACCTGTGACAGATGGACGTCCACTTTGAGGAACACTCAGATGGGTTGGTATTGTTCTGGAATGCTGGTGTGACGGATGATGGGCGGGGGTGGATGAAGACCCGTCCGTCACGCGTTGGATGTTGGTGTTGATTGGTGACGGGGGTAAAAAACGGTGATACAGGTGAGTGTAGGACACGTGTGTGATATGTAGAAACTCACCAAGAGGTGAATGAAGATGTGACGTCGAGGACGGGGGTGCAGGGGGGAAGATCTTGAGATGTTGTCCAGATGTTGAGACGTTGGAAGCAGTATTTGTGGTGATGCGGTATAGTGCGGTTTTTGTGTCATCAGTTCTAATAAAACAGCAAAAAGTTTTCCCGGCACACTCGCCAGCCGGCATGTGAAAAAACGTGTCTCACGGCTAAGGTTAAAAACAGAGGTTTGGATACACGACTTCTGCAGAAAATGGGAAAGACGCACAGCCGCGCCAAGGCACCTCTATGTAGTGCGTGTATCTAAAACCTCTGTTTTTAATCGGCTGGCGAGGGTGCCGGGAAAACTTTTTGCTGTTGTAAGTCTCCGTCTGGTGGTGGCCGGTGGTATTGCAGCCTGTGATCATTATTTCAGAGCCTTGATCTACCTCCCCAAAGCAAGCTGTTCCCTCATCCCTCCCATCCCATTGTTCTATCTTTAGGCAGAACACACCTTGGACGTTACAGGTTCACTAGAGTCCATGTTCTTTACCAGACTTGATAGCAAATCCAAATGGTAAAGTATTTCACCAGCGCACCAAAGTCAAATCTTCAGCGAGCGGTCATTTCATTGATGTCCACACATCTCATCATCAAGCAACGTGTCGGGGGCCACTCGGGGTCCCTTCATCGGGCATGACTAAGCTATCAATGTACACACGTAAATCAGGTCCATAATGTGACCTCGTGAGTTCCACCTTGGCACACTTGAGGATGACTCGGCCTCCATATGACAACATACTCGTCCCTTTAGAATGAACGCAACGTTAACTTTACACAGTACAATAAAATTACTGTTGGTTCAGCAGTCAATGTGTCCCCGGCGTGCCGGAGCTCCATGTGTGTTCAGATATAAGTGGGCCGGGGGTCGGAGGGACTTCAGAAAGGAGAAGGGACAGACACACGGACAATGAGACACGGACAATGAGACACGGACAACGAGACACGGACAATGAGACACGGACAACGAGACACGGACAACGAGACACGGACAATGAGACACGGACAACGAGACACGGACAACGAGACAGACACACGGACAACGAGACACGGACAACGAGACAGACACACGGACAGCGAGACACGGACAACGAGACACGGACAACGAGACAGACACACGGACAGCGAGACACGGACAACGAGACACGGACAACGAGACACGGACAACGAGACACGGACAACGAGACACGGACAACGAGACAGACACACGGACAACGACACACGGACAACGAGACACGGACAACGACACACGGACAACGACACACGGACAACGAGACACGGACAATGACACACGGACAATGAGACACGGACAACGAGACACGGACAATGACACACGGACAATGAGACACGGACAATGGGACACGGACAATGAGACACGGACAATGAGACACGGACAATGACACACGGACAATGACACACGGACAATGAGACATGGACAATGACACACGGACAATGGTACACGGACAATGAGACACGGACAATGAGAAACGGACAATGGCACACGGACAATGAGACACGGACAATGACACACGGACAATGGTACACGGACAACGACACACGGACAATGAGACACGGACAACGAGACACGGACAACGAGACACGGACAATGACACACGGACAATGAGACACGGACAATGAGACACGGACAATGGTACACGGACAATGAGACACGGACAATGACACACGGACAATGACACAACTCTACAGACTCTTCGTATGGAAGGTCCACATGCGCTGGTTCCGGATCATCTGGAATTTGCGGTCCAGGAGATGAGATTGTGTGTGGTGTTGGCTGTTCGGGGTCCTCCGCCCATGTCTGCAGCGCTGCCATCCGGACCGGCCACGGGATGAGATGGGACACGCTGCTTACCCGCTCGGCACTGGTTGTCCCGCGGCACGCGGAGTCCGAACGTCGGGCCAATGGGATGGTAATTGGTATTTTGTTCTTCACGACAGGACTCGGTTTAGCACAACCAGTCGGACATTTTGATTTTTACCCGAACGGAGGAAAGCACATGGCGGGGTGTCCCCACAAGCTGCTGGCAATCCTGCAGATTGGTAAAGGTGAGGCTCCGCATTGCGGTTTTATCTATATAGACACGGAAGGATAGGGGGGGGAGGGGTCATTCACCTCCGCAAACAACTGGGCTCAATGGAACACATCACATGACATAGTTGGGGGCGGAGCGTTAAAAAGAGGCAGCCTGAATGGAGCACATCACATGTCATACTTGGGGGCGGAGCATTATAGAGGGCAGACTGAATGGAGCACATCACATGTCATACTTGGGGGCGGAGCATTATAGAGGGCAGACTGAATGGAGCACATCACATGTCATACTTGGGGGCGGAGCATTATAGAGGGCAGACTGAATGGAGCACATCACATGTCATACTTGGGGCGGGCATTATAGAGGGCAGCCTGAAAAGGAACACATCACATGTCATAGTTGGGGGCGGAACATTATAGAGGATGGCCTGAATGGAGCAGATCACATGTCATAGTTGGGGGCGGAGCATTATAGAGGATGGCCTGAATGGAACATATCACATGTCATAGTTGGGGGCGGAGCATTATAGAGGATGGCCTGAATGGAACATATCACATGTCATAGTTGGGGGCGGAGCATTATAGAGGATGGCCTGAATGGAACATATCACATGTCATAGTTGGGGGCGGAGCATTATAGAGGATGGCCTGAATGGAACATATCACATGTCATACTTGGGGGCGGAGTATTATAGAGGATGGCCTGAATGGAACATATCACATGTCATAGTTGGGGGCGGAGCATTATAGAGGATGGCCTGAATGGAACATATCACATGTCATAGTTGGGGGCGGAGCATTATAGAGGATGGCCTGAATGGAACATATCACATGTCATAGTTGGGGGCGGAGCATTATAGAGGATGGCCTGAATGGAACATATCACATGTCATAGTTGGGGGCGGAGCATTATAGAGGATGGCCTGAATGGAACATATCACATGTCATACTTGGGGGCGGAGTGTTAAAAAGGTGGTGGCCTGAATGGAGCAGATTACATGTCATAGTTGGGGGCGGAGCATTATAGAGGATGGCCTGAATGGAGCAGATCACATGTCATAGTTGGGGGCGGAGCATTATAGAGGATGGCCTGAATGGAACATATCACATGTCATAGTTGGGGGCGGAGCATTATAGAGGATGGCCTGAATGGAACATATCACATGTCATACTTGGGGGCGGAGTGTTAAAAAGGTGGTGGCCTGAATGGAGCAGATTACATGTCATAGTTGGGGGCGGAGCATTATAGAGGATGGCCTGAATGGAGCAGATCACATGTCATTGTTGGGGGCGGAGCATTATAGAGGATGGCCTGAATGGAGCAGATCACATGTCATTGTTGGGGGCGGAGCATTATAGAGGATCGACTGAATGGAACACATCACATGTCATAGTAGGGGGCGGAGCATAATAAAGAGGGCGGCCTGAATGGAACACATCACATGTCATAGTTGAGGGGCGGAGCATTATAGAGAGGGCAGCCTGAATGGAACTGCATTATAGAGGAGGGCCTGAATGGAGCAGATCACATGTCATTGTTGGGGGCGGAGCATTATAGAGGATGGCCTGAATGGAGCAGATCACATGTCATTGTTGGGGGCGGAGCATTATAGAGGATCGACTGAATGGAACACATCACATGTCATAGTAGGGGGCGGAGCATAATAAAGAGGGCGGCCTGAATGGAACACATCACATGTCATAGTTGAGGGGCGGAGCATTATAGAGAGGGCAGCCTGAATGGAACATATCACATATCATAGTTGAGGGGCGGAGCATTATAGAGAAGGCGGACTGAATGGAACACATCACATGTCATAGTTGAGGGGCGGAGCATTATAGAGAAGGCGGGCTGAATGGATCACATCACATGTCATAGTAGGGGGCGGAGCATAATAAAGAGGGCGGCCTGAATGGAACACATCGCATGTCATAGTTGAGGGGCGGAGCATTATAGAGAGGGCGGCCTGAATGGAACATATCACATGTCATAGTTGAGGGGCGGAGCATTATAGGGAGGGCGGGCTGAATGGATCACAGGAGAGAGAGAGGCCAGGCACAGCTGCTCCCCCCCCTCTGTGTATTGGGGTCTGTTATATAACATATTTCCTTTCATTGGCAGACATGTTGAAGGCGTTTGCCTGCGACCACTTCCGAGCGTTCCTCTATTACACGCACAGCATCCGATCCCCCGGCGGCCTCTTCAGCTACCCCTGTGACAGCTACGAGCATTTCACCTCCGTGAGTGCCACTTACTGCATTGCAGACAGATTGCACCGTCCCATGCCACGGGGCTTTCTTTCCAAAATTGTAATGAAGTTTTATTTAATGTGATGTAATCCCTCATTGTGGCCACTAGGTGGAGCCGAGGAGCATAGGCAATAAATGCTTTTTTCCTGCTCACCACAGCTCCATCTAGTGGCCACCATGAGGGATTACATCACATTCCACCTGAAAAATAAAATACACACTATATTACCAAAAGTATTGGGACACCTTTACACGCACATGAAGTTTAATGGCATCCCAGTCTTAGTCCGTAGGGTTCAGTATTGGGTTGGCTCCGCCCTCTAATGGCATCCCAGTCTTAGTCCGTAGGGTTCAGTATTGGGTTGGCTCCGCCCTCTAATGGCATCCCAGTCTTAGTCCGTA